GTTTATGGTTTTTTCCGACCACCAGCAGAACGATCGGAGAACATTGTGCGGTACCTTTATCCGGACATTGGAAGTGGCTTTTCTGGATCGCTGGAAAGGTAGCAGGAACCATTGCATCTCTCTAGAATGGAATCGAGCCCAAGGCGCAATGGAAATACAAGAAATCAGTTTCCCTAACAGTTGAGACAGAACTGCCAGGGAAACCCTCTTTAAGGCTCTGATCTCTCTGGTCAAAGACTGGATACTGTTTAACCTGTCCTGAGAGAGAAAGACCTTGCCCTCCACGGTATCTATCACTGCCCCTAAATGAACTAACCTAGTTGAGGGGATCAAGTGGCTTTTATCCCAATTTATGGAAAAGCCATGACCCTGAAGGGTCTCCAGAGTAATCTTGATATCCAATTTTGCTTGGTGTCTGGAAGATAACAAAATTAAAATATCATCCAGATAACATTGTAAGCAAATAGATTTGATCCTGAGTGAGGCAACCAAAGCCGCGAGGACCTTGGTAAAAGTCCTGGGGGCCGAAGCCAGACCGAATGGTAGGGCGATATATTCGTAGTGCCGATCACAATAGCAAAATCTAAGATATTTGTAGTGAGCAGGTCTAATTGGTATATGTAGATAGGCCTCTGTGAGATCTATAGAGGTCAGGACATCGTTCTCTCTAATGCTGAGCAGAATGGACTGGAGAGTAGTCATCTTGAATTTTCGATAAACCAATGATCTGTTCAGATGTTTGAGGTCCAGAATTGCCCTCCAGCCCCCCGAACTCTTTGGGACCACAAACAATAGAGAGTAACAGCCTTGACCCCGCTGTTCAGATGGGACCTCTCTAATGGCCCGAATATGTAGAAGATGATTGATAGCCTCCTGCATCATGGGGTCCGTGGACCTAGGGCTCCTAATGACCCACGCATCAGAGGTGGAGCTGTCCCATTGATCAGCAAACAATTTTAGCCGCCCTCCAATGGGAACTGCTGTGAAGGACTCACTTGGGGCGACGAAAAAATCGGCCTCCAGTACCTCTGGGGTTTCGTCTGTTTTGGCCTCCCTGCTGACCTCTATCGGAAGATTCAGACCTATCCTGTCTAAAACTGGGCCTGTAGCCTGATGTTTTCTGAGATCTGGGAACGTAGGGCCGAAAGGAACCCCTTCAAAACGACTGGGGCGTTCTGTTTTCAGATCTCCGAAAAAGAGGGGGAAGCATTTTTTTCTTGTTTCTATTCTCTATAAGGAGGGGCTCCAAGACACTGCCAAATAATTTATCCCCCAGTATTGGGGTTGATGCCAACTTGCATTTATGCTTGGTATCCACCTGCCAATGCCTGAGCCATAGCAGTCTCTGTGCTGATACGTGAGATGCTATGGCCCTAGACGAGAATTTGACTGCATTAAATGTGGCGTCTGTGGAGAATTCTGCTGCTGCAATAATTTTAGCTATGTCCTGGTGGGCTCTGACATTTGACGCTGGCAATATATCCCTCAAGTGGAAGAGCCATCTGAGGGAGGACCGTGTAAAAAAGGACGCCGCTGTAGCAGCCCTAATGGCCCAGGCGTCAGAAATGTGTGCCCTACGGAGTGCCAACTCTGCTCTTTTTTCTTCCGGTCTCAGGGCTTCCTCGACCTCGTTGGAAAAGGTTGAAGAAGAGGCCAGTGCCACAATGGGCTCATCCACCTCCGGTGTTTTGAGAAAATTTGAAAACTCTGGTGCCAAATTATAATATCGTTTATCGTACCCTGTTGGGGCTGGGTATGATGATTTTGTATTAATTCAGCAAACATACTAGGGACAGGAATAGTTTCCTCCTCATTAGCCGGTTGTGAGAATATTAGATCCTCAGATTTGTCCATAGACCCTGTTGACAATGGATGAGGGTTTGATGTGCCTAGTTTAGCGGTGTTCTTTGCCTTGAACAGTAAGGACTTAAAGAGGGGCAGGCGAAAAAGGCCAGAAAAAATAGGTTGGTCCGGAATGAGGCCTTCGTCATCCGACATTCCCCGTTCTAGCGGGTCAGCCTCTGACAAACCCAAGTCCATCTGATGGATCGACCCCCCCTCCATGGGAACATCCTGATCCTCAAAGTCCACCTCCCCTTGAAGACCCCTGGGCTGGTATGTTGGGAATATTGGGGAATACCTGAGATTGATGTTGTCCGATATGCGCAAAGGATCGAGCGGACAGGGATCCCGCATCCGAAGCGGCCGAGAAGTGTCTGGTCCTGATGGATTGCTGAATTCCAGCTGCAATGCCCCTTTGAATCGCCATCTCCACCCACTGCCTCATTTCAATGGGGATAGTCTCAGGTAATCCCTCCTCCTGTCTTAGGCCAGCGGCCGTAGGGGTGAAGGTTGCCTCTGGGATTGGTCGGGTAGTGCTCATTGGAGGAGATGTGCCTATGGGAGGTTGTCCAGAAACAGCCTGCCTGGGCTGGGTAGATAAGTCCAAGGGCCCCATCAATGGGTTTGGGTTCTGATCAGATTGTTGTGTCATAGCCATTTTGTCTGCTTCCCTGGCTCGTTTCTGCAATTGCCTTTCCAAAGCTAGGTGCTGTCTATGGGCATCCTTATCCACTGCCTTAGAGGCCTTTTTGGGGCCCACTGGCTTATCTCGGGACTTATTTGACTTGGAGCGGAAAGCGTTGTCACCTTCCATTGTGGATGACTGATTGTCTTGCCTCTGACTTTAATTTAAAATTTTCTTTTTTTCTTTTCTTTTCTTTTAAAATTATGATTATTATTATTGTTGTTAATATTTGTACTTTGGGGTGATGCCTTCCCCTGCGGTTGAAAGTAGAACACTCCTCCAGGAGAGTAAGATTATATATCTATATATATCTATACATGCATGCCCATATACATAGACATATGCCTATATCTATATGTATAACTGTGTATATGGTAAACAGTATCTAAGGGTCCCCAACAAGGGAACCCCCCGAGTGCTCCAAGCGAGAAAAACTCTGGATCCCTGTCCCCAACAAGGGAAACCAGCTATACAGGCTCTGAGGTGAACCCTTTCCTGTCAAAACCAAACGTCCCGCAATTTAAATGGCACTTGCAGTTTCAATTCGAAGAAATGATCCGAAGGCAATTGCAAAGAAATGCCTGCTTAATGACTAGCCTGCTTTTCCAACGTTAGCCAGACAAGGGAGAGCTAAACCCAGGGAGAACAAAGTGGAAAGGTACTGCCTCAGTCCCCAGCAAGGGAAACCAGCGAGGAATGGCGCCTGTGATAATTAGGCGCGAAGTTGAGCCAGCCATTGAAAAGGGCGGGAAGCAGAATCACCGTTGCTAATGTCTGATCCGTCTAATGAGCCGCTGCTGCTGAGGCTCTAACTTGGGAGTTAAATGCTGCTGTCAGACGAAATGGCAAGGCGATGTGAGCCACGGGTGCGAGCACTCCGCTCCGATCGCATAGAAAGCGATTAGAAAGTTAGATAATTGCCTGAGGCGATAGCCTCAAGCTGCCTGCGGAGTGGCAGGCTCCGCTATTTACAAAGAAACTGTCTTTTTCTTTTTCTTTTGAACTAGAGGTAACCTAATAGAGGGACAAGCCTGAAAAAGCCAAATTAAATGGTGAAGAATTTTAACAGCCGAAATAACCAAGAGCAAACCTGAATCAGAAAACCGTTCCAGTCAGGGAGTGCACAACCTCTTACCACAAAGGCTGAGCTAAAACTGGGGGACGCTGAGGTGGTGTTCTGTGGAGGAGGAGCGTCCTGGAGTTTTAAGCCCAGCCTTTCCAGAAGAGACTGAAGCACCTCCCACTTCTGGATGCTCTGAACAGCTCATGGGAGAAAGTCCTGCACGTTTTCAGTTTTAAGATGTATTTACATGTTTAATCAACTTTTCACTCATAGAAACCACACAAAATTAGTACTTTGATGAAAATTTCTGTAGTCAGATTAAGATGCATAATTTTCATTAATATAACCAAAATCTTTTTAAGGGTTTGAGTGAGTTTATGTGCTAAAACAAACACAACTTGATTCTATGTAAGCTTCCCAGACAGAAATATTTCTGTTGGTATCAGATGCTTTTCATCCATCAGATTTTTTCCACTGACAGAACTAGAGAGAGGTGATTATCACTTTGCTGATCTTCTTTCCCCTTAAGGGATTAGAAAATATGTTTGGAAAATTTTGACCTCTCTCCAGGAAGTATGGGGGTGGGGAGGGACTGGGGAACTGCAAAGGGAATCTGGAACAAAGATCATCTCTTTTCTTCCAGTGGAAATTTCTTGAGCAAACCTTTGCTAGGTTAGCCTGGTGAAGAGAAAGGGAATTGCACACATTATATACATTAAGCTGAAGAAAACTGCATGCAGCTGTATAATTCTGGACTCTGGACTTAGGAGTCACAACAGGGGTTTCCCTTTTAAACCTCACAATGCTTCTGTGGAATCATTTTCTTTCCGTCAGCATAATTTCATTGATTTGCCTTTTTTCATATTAAAAAGTGTCAAAAGAGTTTTACACACATAATTTCTCAAAATAATATACTATATAAACCCATACAAAACAAACCTTGCTTAGCACAAGGTGACAGACAAGCTGTGGTTTATTTATTTAGCCTATGGCAAATAAATGCATTTATAGTGGTTCAAATGTTAATGTCCAGTTCACCCAGCCATTCAAGGACAGGGTAGTCTTATGTTGAAAAAAATCAGACATTGAGACGGCTCTTGATGGACATTCAGACACCATGTGATGGATATATTTTGTCGAGGAGCACCACAATCACACTGAGGGGTAGAGATAAGACCCCACTTAAACAATGAGTCCTGGCAGACACCATGTTGGGTACCTGTAACTGTGGTTATCTGTAAGGAACTGCAAATACGTTCATGGCATTTGTGTGTTAACACCGCATACATACTCGCATTCTTTGTATGTCACCGAAGATTCTCGTACAAGTCAAGCACATTGCTACAGAAAAGGGGAAGTAGAACTAAGACTTGAAGCGGACAAAGTAATAATCAAATATTACAACAAGAAAAAGACTTTAAAAAGTTTATTTGTCCAATACAAGTTAAGCAGAAAGCACACCAAAGAATAGTTAGGAGATACATTTTCTAGATACCTTCACAAAACTTATACTTATTGGAGTTTTCACATACATAGTTCAATGTATTCTTTGCAAAAGAAACATCCACTTAACTGTTGGAAAGGTGGCAGGGTTTTAAACAAGGAGCAGCGGGCCCCCAACAAGGCACCAGCCTGCCACCACTGCTCAAGTGTTCTTTTCAGCTCCTCCCTGTTTTTCGTTTGCCCCTACTTTTCTCCTTTTAGCAAGAAGCAGCTGCTAGAGGAATTCAAGGCACTCATCCCATTTCTGTCAGCCTGGGGAACCTCTTCTTAGAGAAGAACAATGCAATACAACATGACTGTTACTGAACGTTTAGCGTATCCTGGATGGAAACTGTGAAATAAGCTAACAGGAAATAGCAAGACTTGCATGCTCCAGTTTGAGACGTATCTGTATTGCCTTGTTCTACCAACATACCAGAAAATGAAAGCTACTGCATGAAAAGAGAAGCTGGGTTGTAGAAGCTCTTTTGAGTTATTTTAGCCCAGCATGGATTAGTGTTACTTTACCAGTCTTTTTCTGAACTGATTGACATACATCTGTCACATAACAATGATCTTTGCTCAAACAGGTTTCAGCAAAAATTCACAGTGTAATCATTTCCCCTTAACAAAACGAGAGACAGAGAGAGAGAACTGGAACTTCCCTCTTAACTGGTAGCTTAGATAATGCATTGTCAATAAAATATGTTAGTTAAAAAAATAGATACCGACAGTTAACACTTCTTGCTTTTGAAATAAGGGATGGTTCACATTAACACTCAAGGTTTCCCTCATAATACCTTCTAGATTTAAAACATTTGATATTGCACTGTTATATTATCCATCAGCTATCAATTTGCATTCCAGAGACTTATGAAACTGTAAAAAAAGTAAACAGCCATTTTGTGCAGTCTTCAGCATTGCATCCGAGTAGTTGGAATTTGCAAAACCTTCATTACAACTACAGTAGCCTAAGCACAGTGGAATTTCTGCCCAGCTGCCTTCCTTATACAGTACAGTGACTGATCGTCCAGTCTTCAACCTTCACACTTTGAGTTTCCTCTTCTGCTCAAAGTAGGCATCAAATCTGGAGAGTGCATAGTCCTAAGTGGGGAGGGAAAATACTACAGTTGAAAAGACTGAAGCTCCTACAATGTGTCCCAATTTCAGGGAACAAGCACTATACTAGAATTTCATACAGACCTATTTATATGACGGCATTTGGTTCTCTTTTATAAATAAGTGTGAGGATGGGAATGTAATACTTTTTCAGGTATCAATTCTTATTTAACGATCCTTGCTGCAACTTGGATTTAAAATTTAATTTATGTGCCCAGTATGTATAAAATAATTTTTGAAAATAAGTTAAAAGGACAAGCTAAGAACAATCAAAATGATACAGTTAACTGACATCTACTGTAGTAACATTAAAGCCGCCTAAGCCAAGTTGCTGGTGATAGCAAGTGCCATGGCTTTCATTAAATGCTTGATGGGACAAATGCTTACTCACAATTGTTAATAACTGATTTTCAGTTAAATTAAATGCTGAAAACATAGGGTTTTAGAGGCGATCAGTAGTCTGAGACAAGTAGGGAGCCTGGACTCTTCAGATGTTACAAAACTAATTCCTAGCATTCCATCATTGGTCATGTTGAAGGGCATAAAAGTTCTGCAACACCTACAACTCTTTCCTACACAGGCGTAAGAACTTGGCTTAAAAATGCTTAAAAACATGAGGCTTTTTAAAAGGCATACCATGTATCCAAACTCAATAGATGATATCTTTGCCTGTATAATGGACCACAGTCCCCAGAAGAAATGAGATGCAAGAGCAAACCTGTCAAAGAAAAACACAATTGAATACTGTCACAGTATGTTTTGGTACCAAATACAGAACCACCCTTGCTTCTCTTGATTAGAATATAAAAAAGGGACTCATAACCTCTCCTGGCATGATACATGAAGTGGGATGGTGGAAACTACCCATTATTCCTGGAGGGCTACAGGTTATCTTCCCTAACCTAAAATGTGTAATAGAAACAGGCTGCTCATGTTCTGAAAAGCAAAAGAAAATGGTTTCTCTCCAATAGACCTTCAGGCATGAACAGCTTTATAGAGAAGACAACTCCCAGGTATCCTGGACTCTTAATAATTTGAAAGGCTTATTTTATGTGGTCTCTAAATTTACATAGTAACATTTATAAGAGTGGGTGTTATCAGCCACAAGCACCCATATAATTTATCTGAGAGACTGTGTCTTCCTATTCATTCATGAAATTCATTTGCCGTCCATTTCACGTCAAATGATTCTGGGTGGCTTAAAGCATAAAAATATTAAGAAACATTAAAGTAATCAAGTATAAGATAACAAAGCAGAGAAAATTCTGTTTTCCTACTTTTGTATCCTTCCAATTACCTCAGTTAACCTTCTAGTTCTTTGGGGGGGGGGGTGTATTTATTTACAGTGGAACCTTGGGTTGCAAACGCTCCTGTTCGCGACCAAATCAGGTGGTGAACAAAAAATCCACCTGCTTTTTGAATCGGATCACGATTCAAAAATTGGGTGGTAAGCAAAACCGGCACGGAAAGTTTCCCTTTCTGCACCAATTTTGCCTTTGGCGCCTTTTTTTTATTACTGCGCATATGCAGAGTCGGTCGTGCTTCCGGACATGACCAAATCAGGTCATGACCTGAGTCCGGGAACGGATTATGGTCGCAACCCGAGGCTCCACTGTATTTATTTATTTCCACTTTTATTATTTTATAAATAACTCAAGGGGAAAACATATCAAACACAACTTCCTCCCCCTATTTTTCCCACTACCACCACCCTGTGAGGTGAGTTTGGCTGAGAGAGAGGGTGACTGACTCAAAGTAAGCACGCAGAGTTTCAAAGAAAACATTCAACTGATGTTCCGTGCTATTTTTTCCCCCTAAGAAAGCCTATCAACCCTAGGGAGGGAACAAAAGGTACTCTTGGAAATAAAAATAATACTGCAGGATCGAATTTTGATTTGTAGAGCTCATTCACTTTTCATTTAGTTTTTAATCAGAGTAAAATAGTGGAGGCACCTTGATTAACATCAAGGAGATATCCAAGGAACCAGATCACATATCCTCAATTAGTAGGTATTAAATCAACTCTGGAAGCTTTCTCTGTCATGTTTCTATGGTTACTGATCAAACCAGATTTTCTCAGAGCAGGTAGTAAATGAAATCATCCAGCTTAGAAAAATAATTACAACCTAAATAATCTGCATGCTACCTTATATGTAAGTACTGATTTAGATTAGTTACCAAACTAAACACTGAAACATGTCATATAATCTACATATATTAACTGAAAATGAAGACACGCACAGGATTACATATAATTTTGAATGAAGAGAGAGGTTACCTGTTTACTTCAACCAACATATCATCTTCTATTTTGGACTTATCTTCATGGCTCAGATTTTCAAATCCACTTTGAGATGCAGCTAGATAACTGGTTATGAAATGAAGCTAAAAGTACAAAACAGAACAGCAGTGGACTTGCTTAATACCAACATACCAAGTTAATATAATTTATTAGAACTTCAGTTTAATTCAAAGCACTTAAAAAAATACAGAGCAACAGTATTCATTTTCAAATTCATTCTAGATCTAATAATTTGTATTCCAGTTCATTCAATATTTGCTTAATCATTATTAGAGATGGGAAAACTGTGCCTTCCTCTAATATATTATTGAACTTTAATTACTTAGTATCTCTCACTAGCTGGATGAATTAAATGAAATTTAGAAAATGTATTCTAGGTATACCTTCTTATTAAGAAAACTTTAACTTTCCTATTACTAGGGTCATAGGATGAAAATACAGAAGTCCCCCATTATAGACCGTTACCACAGAACTGGGGAAGTTGTAGTCTTCTAGATGATACTTGAGTTATCATTCTACAGCCAATATAACCAATGGTGAAGAATTCTGAGAATTTTACTTCAGTAACTTGTGGAGGACAATAGTTCTCCATTGCTATGTGACTAAGAAATTCCATTTGGCAAGATTTAACTAGAGAACACCGATTAAAGTTGAGTATGTACAATTTAGAAATGAAGTTCAATTTGCAAGTAAAGGACATTATAACTCAAGACAGTTATTTTTATTGTTTACCTGCTGCTTCCTTGTGGGATAGTTCATGAAGTTCGCTTTGAAGAATGGGTATTTTTCATGCACATAGTCAAACATCCATTCACAGAAATGATTAGCAATATCAAACCCTCTAGAGTGAAAACATTATGAATATGTAAGAAATACATTCGGCTCCAAAACGTACATTTTTAAGAATTTGGGGATTATAGAAAGAGCTGTGCTGGATGAAACTTAAGTTTTATCTTGTTAATATTCTATTTGGTGGTAGATGGGTGGGCCTACATACAGCATCCATCTATTGGTGACATCATGAAACAATGTAAACTAGTGTGATCAGATGAGCTTTCTCTCTCAAATTAATTGATGGGGCAAGGAGATCCTCTTATATTTGTTGAGAAAGTTGGGAAGGTGCTTCAGAAATAAGTGGGAATGGCAACTGTTACAAACATTGTATATACTTCTGAAGGTTATTCAGGATCTTTTAAACCCCTTTTGTAACAGTTTAACAGGGTTTCTCTTTTTTTCTTTCCATCCATATGTTATTGCTCCGTTCTTCGTCTATCATATATATTTTATTCCTCTCTCTTTGTTCTTGCCAGCTACTCCTTCCTGTCTCTCTCCATCTCCATTCTTTTTTCTTTTTTAAAATTTACTACTGCCCCTGCTGGAAGGCAAGAGGGGAATTTGGAAGACGGCACTTGAGTGTTTGGCTTGTGACAGTGGTTCATGTAAAAATTATTAGTATATGAAAAGAATCAATATGTTTTAAAAAAGAGATACCAGTTAAAATTGTCTATAAAGTAAGATTTAATTCAATTGAAGTTACCCTGTTTCTCCAACAATATGGCCTCCCCCAATAGGAAGTCCCAGCATGTTTTACAGGCATGAAATGAAATTAAGCCCCTCCCCCCAAATTAAGGCCTATATTAAAACATGCGAAATGGGGGGAATGGTGGGGGGGCTTGCCATTAGGAAGTACTTTTGTTGCACACCCGGATATGGTGCTGCCTGCGTTGACCCCAATACGAAGTGCCCCACCAACGCCAAGGTCAACATCCAAGCCATCGCTGCCCACCCGAAGATGCAAGGGGGGGGGAATTAAGTCACCCCCAAAAAGACGGCCTAGCCATTTTGGGGGGGCTCAAAAAAAAATAAGACCCGGCCTTATTATATGAGAAACACGGTAGTATTTTTGGTATCCTTTTCTGAATGTGCTTCGGGCAGGTATGTAGAACATATAAATTTATTCGGATGAGGAGAATTCCTAGGACTGGGCTGAGTTGAGAATAAATTGTACCTGATTTGTACCTGTTTCTACAAAAAAAAAAAAAAATCCAGCTTCTTTTAGGGGGATTGCCTTAAATTCCAAGTTATCCTTTTCTTGGGGGTAAATTCATTAGCTCTGAGGAACTTAAGCTCAACTGACTATATAGTCCACTATTACACTGACCTCACCAACCAGCAGGGTTGAAATCTTCTCATCATTAAAGGCTAACAAAGTTCATAAATGATGTTAAAACTCAGTTTATTAAATAAAATCAACTATTTATTCTAATATATCTACTCTGACTGACAGGTGCATATCATGTTTTGTTATTCAATTCTCAAAAGTATACATCTTTTAAGAGTTGCATTTTAACACATACAAAAAACAACAACCCCCAACAACACTTATATAAATCTTTTTCTGCCTGAAGATTAAATTATTCCTGGAATCCTGTTTTTGAAATTTTTTCCAAATACCAAATGACATAAGGATCTTTCTTTATTAGCAATTATTAGATGCTATAGTATCAAGTAACTAAAAACTTAGCAAAATGGAGCTACCACCCCAGGAAGTCAGATTGTTCCAGGATCAGTACTATCAACTCTAATTCCCAACCTAGATACATAGTCATATACATATGTGTCATTTAGTCACAGGAAAAAAGTAGGTAATTTGATAGCAAAAATCAACACGATCAGAACTATTCAGGCAACAAAGCTGATATAACAATCAATTAGTTTAATGTCCTATAAATTTCAGAGACTACATCTTGTTCTCTAAACAATGCAAATACATTAGCAAACTGCCAGTTTAGGTATCAATTTGACATGAAACACTATCACCACTAAGCAGGCTAAGTAATTATTAAGAAAGATGAACAGAAAGAGCTGCTATTATCTGCTATTTATAGAGAAGCTTTATCTTAAAATTTGTTACAAACCTTTGAAACAGATTTACTTTACATGTAAATTTATTCAGCTAGTTTTAGCATGTTCATTAGGCAAACACTGGTAATCCTGATGGATTAGCAGCAAACGGACTCTGTGTGCAAAAAGCAGTTCATATAACTAATCTAGCATTTGTTAAGCTTGTATTTTTATTTATTCAAGGAGAGGTCCAACATTTACCTATAATTGTAACTGCTGTATTCAAAGTCAATAAGCATCAGCTTTTGTTTTTCAGAATCTTCTCTGCCATCAAGAAGCAAGATATTTCCTAGGGATATGGAGAAGCAAGAGGTATAAAATGATTTGTGCAAGTTTTCTGAGGAAATTTCAGATCATTAAATTGGAAATGGCTCCATAACTTATAAAACAGCTCAACTATCCTGATTCTTTAACATTAGGATTACGAATGTTACAATGAAATACAATGAGATACAATTCTAATTCTTCACTGCCCTTTTGTGATCACTAGAGTTTCCCCATTTTCTCTGCCCACCCTTAACTTCTGCCGCTTGGGTGAGGATAAGGTTTTGTATCTTTTCATGGAAGGCTGCATCTGAGAGATCTGTTCTGAAGCAAAGAGGACTCATGCCCTATGCAAATATCTTGAGCAGGTGCACTCAACTCTGGAGTCCATCTCAAGAATAAGAATGCCATTAGTAAATAGTGTGCGTGCTATTTAAATGATGGTAGAAAAGAAGGTATTTTATTAGGGCACTGCTGGAGTGAGGACTAAACAATCCTGCAATCTTAATGACTCTAATCAAAACGAAGTCCAAGTTATTTTCACACACCAAAGCTTGTTTCTATACTTCCTTAACTTTAAAAAATGTTCATCCTAAGAATGGATTTCTTTCTAAGGAACTGGCTACAAACAGACCAGATTTTAATCTTCTCCTAATCCTGTTATACAATACTCCAAGAACATTTCTTTGTATTTACTTCCATGAGATAAACAGAACATGTTCACCAAATAGATTATTAAGAAAATCACAACTGTAAAAAATGCAAAGACAATGTTACTGTACCTTCTTGGCAGTCATTATGACAAAACACAACTGGAGATGGAGTAGCTTCAAGTAAAGATCTAAGGGGGAAAATCCAAATCGTTTTTGTTTTTTTAATTAAAGGACACAAATACAGGAAGACAAATACTTTTTATATCTCTTGAATATGTTTCCACCAACTAGGTCTTCTCCTATACAAAGCTAATCAAGAAAACTGTTTATGAATGAAGATATTTCCTTCCTACTTTGTGTTTCCTCAAAGTACAAAACAACAGCTTGACTTACTGCATTCTTAAAAAACCTGCTGGCTTGTTTCTCCCTCTTCCCGTGATGGCACAGTACTTGTAAGGCAATGAGAGCCATTTGGAGGTCTTGGAGAGCGCCAATTAATCCCTCTTTTTCTTCAAACCAGCATTTTAACTAATATTCTGAGAGAATCTTAGGACAACACTTTAACTGTAAACATGATCCTAGCTCTGCTCCCTGCAAGCCCCTGTATTTCATGGTCTGATAACTGCATTATGCACAACTAGCACAGTGACTTCTAATTAGAACAAGCAAAAGAGGTATGTTGTAATATAATTTGGAGATGCACCATTTAGGGAATGAGGTCGAAAGAGCTACATTCACAGCTGAACACCGTTTGCTGACATTTCATGTCATGCAAATAATGGGGAGAAGAGAAGAGAGAATTTACTTTCAATTTATTTTAATAGGCCTCCATGGTACTTGCTTGGGTCTCTCCATATTAATGGGATATGTAACTGAAACAGCACACTGGATATGCAGCGGATCTACAGCTTTCTCTACAGCTCAGATAGGGCATTGCAGTATAGGATTTCTCCCTCTCTCCCTGATCCAGAGGTGGGCTTAGAAAATTCTGATGGTGCTTTCTCCATGGGAGAAGATAGGCCCACCTCCAGTTTTAGAATGATGAGCCAAAGAGAGTTCAAAGGAAGCACTCTTGAGAAAGTTAGGATACTGGTGATTGCTTTCCTTTGGAGCAGGCATCCACACCCCACTCATCAGTATCACCTGAAGCCAGCTGCCTCTTAACAGATAGCAGCTTGACAAAAGGAAAATATACATCTGAATTAAGGAGCTATTATGCCTGCTGCAGCACCTTTTAATCAACCCTTTAATTTAATAGTCTATTTCCTCAGAATAATCACATTTGCTTGAAGTGGAGTAATATAAAAAGAAAAGTAGGAGTTTAGCTGAGACTGAAGAATCCAACAAGCACATTTATGTTGAGAGCAAGGCAGGAACAGACTTTGTGTTGGAATGATCTCTTCCCACAGGAAAGACTACCTTAATCTTCTAGCCCTACCTCCACAACAAATGAAAATATTTCATAATGGCATGCAGTGTCTAGACAATGAGAAAACACTAGCACTAATAGCTACAATATTCTTAGACAGCTAGATATAGATGTACTAAACACAGAGACATTAAAAAGTAAGTCATAAAAGGTTTACCTTTTACAACATAATAATTAAATCAATTACACAGCAAAATTATGAAGAACAAACTATTAAGAATTAGAATGATACCTTAAGTTTTTCATTTCTTGAGGCAAGTTGTAGCTGAGAATCTTGTTCAGTTTTCTCACACGTGACTCTCTGGTAAACTTGATTCTCATGACTTGGTTCAAGTACCTGTATGAAGATTTTATTGTATAGTTAGTATTTTAGGCAAACATGTACAACCCTTTGCCAATCATATTCTGAAAGAAAAATATAATTAAACATTTTAAAGATATTTGTGTGCCTCAAATTAGATAAATTTTCTCAGAAAATGAAAAATGCTATTCATTTTCAACACAAAGCAAAGGCACCGTGTCCCACATGTTCTATCAAAGTGCTCTGATCAACTGGTAGGAACAATTTTGTTCTTCAGAGTTTAGGACACCTACCTTCCATCCCCATCTATTTGACAGCTCTCAGTGATATATCCCACTGGGTTGCGTCTCCTCCCCAATCCACTCAGATCTACCATATCCCAGTGTGGCATATCATACTAGCCTTACTTCTCCTTCATCACTAAGCTTGTTCTCATGCATTATCTTGCAGTCCTGCCTTCTTCCCTTCCTCCCTCATCCACTGCTGATGTTTTTGGCTTTTTTCTACCCTTACACTCCCTACAAACCTTTTGGCATGGAACAACTGTGTTTTGATCAAAAACTGAAACAAAACAATGCTGTTTTGTCTGGATCTAGAAAAGAAATGCTTCAGTTCTGGCACTGGACCACATGAAAACCATCTGTTCCACGCAAAACCATTCTGCATATCCTTCCGGGATCCAGCTTAATTACTCTGGATGTAGAGTAATTCTACTTTTAAGATGCTTAACTGTCACATTAAAATAAAAAGACAACACTTCTATTGCTTACTTCTCCATGGTTCCAAACAGCCACTTAGGTTCTTTATTAAATGGCATTTTCATCCCATGAAATTTAGCCATTTTTTCAGCTATTTCTGCTGATATATCTGGCATGCTTAGCTCCTCGGTATCCAACTTTCTGCTCTGAAATATATATAGCAAAAAGGACATAAATGATAAGAAATACATAAATCCACCAGGTGAGTTACAAATGTACAAATAAAGGAACTCAAATGAGGACCTAACTTATTTTTATTTTTCAGTGCTGTAAGAGTGACATTCTGTTCTGCTACTATAAGGCAGAATACCCTATCATGTGTTTCATTAACTGAAAGTGGCAAAAAATTAGTACAGAAAACCCGAGATCAAGTTTGCATTGTCTACATATTGCCCAATATAACAATAAAACAAACCTATTACTATGCCTTGACAAATATTTGTGCTAAACTGTCAAATTCAGTTTCAACTATCACCACATAGCTTGTATCTGGTACATACAGGAATGAATTCCTCCAGGCGGCCTTGTGGGAAGATTCCATACAGTTTTGGACCAAGAGCTCTCTCTGCAAGAATGGCAAACATAACACTCTCCAGAACAACAGCTTCTGCACCCTACGAAAGAAAACTAAAGCTGTATGAATATAATCAACGTAAATCAAATCTTCACCATTTATACTGCAGAATAAATACAAATTAAATTGCAAAATTATGTTGCAAAATAAATATAATTTATGTCTAGTGTAAACTTCCAAAACTTTCAGAGAGACACTTATAGATCCCTTTACAATTAGTGGGGTATTTCTTGTGGTTTATCATCCTAAATATAGGAAAGGATAATCTAATTGTATGTACCGTGTTTCTCCAACAATATGGCCTCCACCAATAGGAAGCCCCAGCATGATTTATTGGCATAAAATCAAATTAAGCCCCTCCCCCCAAATTAAGGCCCATATTAAACATGCGAAATGGGGGGGAATGGCGTTTGGCGAAGCACACGAGTTTCGCAGTCGGAGAGGGAGGCGGCAGCGAAAAGGACGCGGCGGCAACGGCAGGATGCTGCAAGTCAGGACCTTGCATTGAAGCAGCCCGGGGGGCACGTAGCCACCTCCCTCCAGCCCACCTTGAGGATTTGCCTTTTGTTGTTGGTATACTTGGCTTCAGGCGCTCCTGTCGCCGCCTTCCCTTTGCCTTCGAAGGTAAACTGAATTATTTTAAAAACCTCCGCTCATCCCGCCAGGGCCGCGGCAGAGCCGTGCGGGGCAGAACCAGGAAACACCCGCGGCTCGCTTTCCCGGCTCTGCCCAGCTCGCACGGCTCCGGCACGGCCCTGATGGGATGAACGGAGGTTTTTAAAATAATTCGCTTTACCTTCGAAGGCAAAGGGAAGGCAGCCACAGGAGCGCCTGAAGCCAAGTGTCTCCTCAGGGCTCCGGTTGCAGGGAGGAGCCCTGACTGGCCGCACGTGGCTGCGCCAAACGCGTTACTGTAACGCTGCAGAAGCAAGGGAGAAGGAAAAGCAACGGTGATGGAAGGTCTCCCGAACATCCAAGCTGTCGTCGCCCGCCTACCCGAGGATGCAACGGGGGGGGGGGGGGGGAGAGAATTAAGTCACCCCCGAAAAGACGGCCTAGCCGGTTTTTCGGGGGTCAAAAAAAAATAAGGCCCGGCCTTATTATGTGAGAAACACGGTACTTAACCAAGTTTCATATTAGTATTTTTGGCTGTTCATTTACAAACCTGCTTTTTATAAACGAAGTGCAATGAAAACGAGAAAAAGTAGCCTCTTCAAAATAGGACAAGTAGGGAATGTAATACACCTATCTCATATAGTTATGCTAACCAGATAGTTTTATGTTTTTGGATTACAATTTCTATTAACCTGAACTAGCATGGGACTGATTGCAATTATATTCCAATTGATTCCAAAACATATGGAAGGCTTCAGTTTTGAAAATTAGTCTATGTAACTTCCTAGACACTGGAATGCAACGAGGGGGCTGAAGGAAAGCAAGACCAATGTGGACTCTAGTGAGAAACTCTCTTCTCTCTAGCAGTGGGACATGAGAGAGCAGTCAACTTTCTGTTAGCTATTGAATAAATATGTGCATTAGGATAACAATGCACTATTCAGTCCTGAATTATGAAGTTCAGCCTTTTTGCTAGCTTGTATATGCACCTAATGCACTCAAGGAAAGAGAGATCCTTAACAGAAGTCACATTTTAACATCTTCTAATGGAAGCAGAATTCCAAATATAATTTATTAGCAGTAAAATCCTCCTGGTTCTAAATGATATCAGGCAGTTAAGGAACTTGATTTCTTTAAACAGGCCAGCCATGCCAAAGACTTTTCCAACTTGCTGGCAAAGACATTCCTTGTATTAAGAACAACTCTCATTCATGTGTGGTGTGCAGAAGACTGCTCTTTAAAAAAGGGGACAGGGCCAAAACTGGCAGGATGTGAAAACTTACTAAAGTATTTAAATTTAAAAAGGTATATCTCTAAGAACGATAGGAAAGTTTTGGCAGAAAAGACAGCTACTTCTTTTTGCCACACTGCCCACTTTTCTCCTTAAATTGAAGACAAACAACTCTGAACCAAATATATCTAGATAGGCAGATAGGTAGTCCTCGATTTACAACTATTTCTTTAATGATCATTCAAAGTTACAAGGACAAAAAAAGGGGACAAAAAGTGACTTTTTCACACTTACAACCATTGCAGCATCCCCACAATGATGTGATCAAAATTCAAGCATTTGCAATTGGCTGATGATTATGATAGTTGCAGTGTCCTGGGATCACGTGATCACCTTTTGCAACCTTCTGACAAACAAAGTCAATGGGGAAGCCAGACTCACTTTACAACCATGTTGCTAACTTATCAACTATAGTGATTCACTTAATAACCATGGCAAGAAAGATAATAAAATACAGCACAATTCACTTAACAACTGTCTTGTTTAGAAATAGGAATTTTGAGCTCAATTGTGGTTGTAAGTCAAGGACTACTGTATGTGAATTCTTAGGAACACATTCACTCAACTTTTTGAATAACAAAAACCTTAAACAATCATACTTAATATTTCTCATTATACATATACAATATACTATCTTTTTTTGCTGGTATTTCCAGTAATGCTAAAAATCGAAGCCTTAATAAATATATTCTTTATGTTTTGCTAATTTGAAGAGGCACACAAAAACATTCATATTTTAGTTTTCAAATTGAATTGTAAATAGAAATACTTCAGTAACATACACTCCTTTCAATTAATCTGGTTTTATCTTAACAATGATTAATCACGCATTTAAAAAAAAACTAAGACCAAAGTACTAATGATTTACTCAAAGAGTTATTTGAAAAAGATTAAAGCACACTTTTTAAGGGACTGCTGGATGAACTTGTTAATTTTTAACTTTAAACTTATTGGCCTAATTCAAACAGAGATTTCAAGGTTATTCCTTCCATTTTAGTTAGCACCTGTTAGAAATTATCACTATTGCTGGATGTATTCAACCAAACAAGCTTATATGGAACCTTAATATGGGCTGTGCCAACTAGCTCTTCTCCAGAAAGGCAAAGTAATTTATCATACGGTCCAAATGCAATGAATTCAAGGTACTTCTACATGAAACCTTTTGTGAAGGTTTGTTTAGTTATGATTTGTTCTGCTCAGACATGTCCATTCAGATAATGCTATAAGGCAAATGCTTAGTTGTATGTCTCAGAATGGAGGTATCAGTGAGCAGGTAGTCTTCAAGCTAATCCAAGGGTCTTCAAACTTGGCAAGTTTAAGACTTATGGACTTCAACTCACAGAATTCCTGAGCTAACATGCCTGGAGGAATTCTGGGAGTTGAAGTCCACAAGTCTTAAAGCTGTCAAGGTTGAAGACCCCTGAGTTAATCCATTCACATACACATTGGACAATGTAGGAAAACAAGACTACTTAGAAAAGAATCCCAGAAACTAAAACTACTACCCCTAATTTTGTGTAACTGAAGAAATAAAATAGAATAGTATTTCAAATGGAACAAATCAGACAAAACAGACATGAAAACAGTACTATGATAGAAAATTTGCTCATTTTTAAAAAACTATGCATTCTTTCATCAAAATAAATGGCTCTGCTAATATATGCTAAAATAATTGTTTTATACAGCTAACTATTGTTGAGTAAATAGTAACAATGTTTATCTTAAATTTTCAATAGAATTGTCACAGGATTCACCTTTTGACTTGTATACTCACCTGTCAACTAAAGATAAATGATATATATCTAATGAAAACTCCCTCAAGTTAGATAGGAAGTCACACCAGTCCCGATTAACTAGATAGGTCCACAGAAGTTCAGCCATCTGTGTTTTATATCTATGCCCTTCCTGGTTGGTAAAGGCCTCCTGGAAGGTGACATAAAGTTGGCTTCAGAGGCTAATGCTGGGGTGTGTTGTTATCTGCTTTAAAAGAGGTAGTTATCCACACTGTCTTCAAGAAGCCATCACTGGACTGAGGAGATAGGCAGGTGGGGACAATTCAAGAGAAGGCAATCCCTTAACAAAGCTTGGGCTGGGAGAAACCATGGCTTGAATCAGGGTGGGTCCTCACCTAAGGACATGTGGGATTTGATTAACAGCAACAGGGACTGCCAGAATGGCTATCACTAAGTGAAGCAGTCATGTGACATCAAGCTGAATGACCATATCGCTTGACGAGAGACATTGGAGTTCCAATTACTGTTAATTGAGGATTACCTGTAATGTTGTTAAGGTTATGTCCAGTGCTGGGGTCCAGATAAAGAAGAACAGGCTTCAGTTCAACTCTAGTAAAACTGATGAGCATGTTGAGACACCCAGCTCTGGAGGATTTCCATCTTTATCTCTGAATGAGGCAGCATTATGCAAAACTGATGAGCAATCTGAGTCCTCCTGAACTGACAGCTGCTGCTCAAATTGCTCGTGGCAACTGTGGCTAAAAGGGATTTTGAACAGGTTCATCTTGTACACAAAATTTCCTGTTGACGAGGAGGTCCTTCTCACAGTAGCTCCCAGTAAGCTGACCCATACCATTCAAGGTGCTGGGTGTCACTTATAAAGCCAGATAAGATACACCGCACAACCAGGATGTGCCTTTATCTTCAGCTGTTTCTGCTTGTCCACCAAGAACTAAAAAGGTCCCTTGGAAGTTGTGTTTTTTGCTGATGTAGCACTTGCCCTATGGAACAATGTCCTCCTGGTGATCAAAGGTATCTCCAGCCCTCTTGTCCTTACATAAGACATTCAAAACCTGGATAATCCTTCAAACATTTGGGCCAAGGAGTTTAACCAATACTGTAGGTGTATCTGTCCCATTTATCGATTGAAAATGGAACAAGTTTTAAATCTTCAATAATGTGTTATGTTATGAAGACTATTTTGGATTATTATTTTAGAATGTTCATTTTGTAAATTATACTTTTGTTTTTAGAGTCATAGTGATAGGCAATTGTATACACTCTACAAATAAATGAAATATTTCCTTTTAGCATGCAAATTTGTATACTACATAATTAAGGCTTCCCATGAATTTGGAGAAAACACTATCTTAAAGAAGTGAAGACAATCTCTTCTATTTTTATACTTGATAGGATACAAACAGGAGCTCAGTACTAGATTCGAACAGTCACATCTCTTATTTTCGCTACTAAGTGCTTCACGAGTCAAAGTTTTCTTAATACTGCAGGATAAAGGCAGCCTTTAGAGTGCCTGAAGGCATTTTGGCTCAATATATTTGCTTACTCAATAAGCACCTGTAGTTTTCCCCATGACTGCTACAGCTGGTTTTTATTGACTACAGCTGGCTGGTGTTAGTTTTGAAATACAGTTCAAGGTTACAGTTCACTTTTCCCCAAATAAAAGTCATTTAATGCGTGAAATTAAAATCCTAGGCTAACACATATGACTTTATATATTCTGCATATACTACATTATTTGCTTCATCTGATTTGAGGCATTGATCCTCCCCAGCCAATATGAATATATTATCAATTTAATTATATCATCCTTATATATTACTCCTACCACAGAATTTTTCTCAACATTTTGTTCTTTTCTCCAAAACATCTTTTCTGCCCTAGCTCCTGTTGCTACCAGTAAAGATAAAGAATAGAAGTTTCAGAATTACCATTTCTCTGATGTCTCAAATTGGCTCACATCTGGTTTAAGGGAATAATTATGGTTAAGTTTTGTATCAATTGAAAGCAGATTTTGTGACAAACTATTGAAGAGCAATATACCACAGATGAGTCTATGCCAAAGGAAGTTACTTTAACTCTGTTACTCTTACAGAAGTACTTTTTAAAGATCTTCCCACCTCCAACAGAGAAGGCATATTCAAACAGTTGTGGAGGCAGGAAAAAAAGACAGGCAGATAGCAATTATCCTGCATGTGCTGTACTAATCAGATATGGACATTCAGCAAAGACAGTACTTACTTGTAAATCATTCTCCTTTTGAGCCTGTCCAGATCCTCCTTTATTACAGGACCTCTATGAATGAGAAGTCAACATTTCCAATGAGACACTGAAAACTAATACGAATGAATTTAATCTGTAGCCACCACAATAAGGAGAGCCAGGAAGACCAGCTATATTTAAAATGTATATTCAACAATTATCTTACAAAATATCAGAGATTTTGATGGAACCCCTCTCATTTACATGAGGTATCACTTCAAATTATTCAAAAAGGATGTGCCATTGAACTCCATTGTGTAAATCTGCCTAGGGTAACAGACAGACAAGACCATTATATATATGATATGTATCATCTCCTTGTCCACCAAATATTCCAGGTATACAAGAATAACCTGATTTATAAATAACCTGAATAACCTGGAATATAAATGAGGGTTCAGCACTAACTAGATTTACTAACATATGTAAAGCTAGCATCACAGTATAAACCAATTATTACAGGAGCAACTACTAGATACAAAATGTAGCGGAAGCATTATCTAGTTGTATAGGTAAAGAAGACACTCACTTATCCCAGTAACCATTTGTTGACAGATGTCTTTTACACTGTAAAGTAACAATATTTTAATACATTTTATATACTATCACCAGTCATGTTTCAAGGCAAATTAAGCAAATCAAAGTAAAGATCAACGGATTTCAGAGTTAGTGGACAACAGGGTGTTTCTTAACATCTAGATTTAAACATGTTCTAACGTTTTGGGTTTTGTATTAATGTCTGGTTCAATGGCACATGCTTTCCTTGTACTAGTTTTAAATTCCAGCAGAAATGCAAGCTTTGTAATCCATTAAGGCAGGGGTGTCCAACCTTGGCAACCTTAAGACTTGTGGACTTCAACTCCCAGAGTTCCTCAGCCAGC